ACTGGCAAACATTTAATTATCTCTTTCTGTAACTCTCTTTTGGTTAGAAATTAATGTTGATGTGACTGAGATCTGATAAAGGAAATTATTTGAAAACATTTTCTTCTTTTAACTCCCTCTAGGCAGCACATGAAGTTAAGAGTCATCAGAAAGAAGGAGAATGCCAACAAAAGAATTAGCAACAAAGTAATACTCAGGTGAGATTTTTAAATTTTCTACAAGTGCACATATATACACGCAAACACACGTATACATATGCACAGGAAAAGGTGTGAAAAGCTGTAATCCAAAGACATTTCTGGAAACTTGGAAGAGGAGATTGGAATTAGAAGTGGTGGCCAGATCTCTAATTTTTAGTATTATCAGGACTATTTATTTATGCATTCACTTAAATTATTAAAAATTAAAAATACAATTTCCTACAAATGAGATAATCTGTTCATCTATCTCAGAAATGACTGTGCATACGTATTATTAAGGATACTCAGCCTGGCTAGGCACGGTGGCTCACACTTGTAATCCCAGCACTTTCAGAGGCCAGGGCGGGTGGATCACTTGAGGTCTGGAGTTCGAGACCAGCCTGGGCAATATGGCATAACCCCATCTCTACTAAAAATACAAAAATTAGCCAGGCATGGTGGCAGGCACCTGTAATCCCAACTACTTGGGAGGCTGAGGCAGGAGAACTGCTTTAACCCAGGAGGCAGAGGTTACAGTGAGCCGAGATCGCACCACTGCACTTCGACCTGGGCAACAGAGCAAGACTCCATCTCAAAAAAAAAAAAAGGATTAAAGGAAAAAAAAATACTCAGCAAGGCCAGGCACGTGGCTCCTACCTGTAATCTCAGCACTTTAGGAGGCCAAGGCAGGTGGATCACTTGAGCCTAGGAATTTGAGGCAAGCCTGGGCAACATGGCAAAACCCCATCTCTACAAAAAATTAGCCAGGTATAGTGGCACGTGCCTGTAGTCCCAGCTACTCGGGAGGCTGAGGTGGGAGGACTGCCTGAGCTCACAGTGAGCTATGATTGCGCCACTGCACTCTAGCCTGGGTAACAGAATGAGGCTCTGTTTCAGAATAGAAAAAAAAAAAAAAAAAAAAGAATACTCAGATAGCTTGGAGGTCATTATTCTTAGGACAAATTAGACCCTTTCCATCATTTGTCTAGTTTTAATTGTAATATTTTAATGTAACATTTTTCAAATTTCCTCTTAAGGCTCCCTCCAGTTAAACAGTAATAAAGGAAATTACTTTCCCCATGAAAATTATAGCAAAGTAAATTTAAAGTAGCTGAATATCAACAGGTGACTAAATTTAGGTATGTGTGACCCACAGACATTTTCTCAGACAGGGCTGTGTGCCCTGAAAGAAGTGTACTGTCAAGAAACACATTTCGCAGATACCAGGAATATGAGTTTTTAGGGTGGGATCATAAGCTGCTCTCTTAACTGTTTTAGATATTTGGCACAAAATATTTTTAGGAATTCTTTATTCTTAAAAATCTCAACTGCATATATAAGCTTATTGCTCAGATAGAAGAACATTAGTAATCAACCAAAAGTTAATTCGTGTTATTCATTTATTATTTTCTATAATATATCTGAATATAATAAAATCATATATACTTTTTGGTGAGAAATTTTCAATATAGAGATTGAAATTATTTTTATATCAATGTCATAATTAGGAATATATGATTTATACTTCCATTTCACATTCGTCATTGCTAAGCCTCTGTGAAAGCATTATTTATTTCTGTTTCACAACAAGAGCTAGAGAAAGCTCAGGGTAAAGATAAATAGGGATTACCAAAACCCCAAATAAAGACCTCTCCAAAAAAGACCAGTTATAAAACAAGGTCCCTTCATCAAGAAGCAAAAAATAATCTACTTTACCTCCTGTAAGATAATAGACTATATGGGACCCAGATGAGAAATATGCGAAAATACTGAAAATAAATTCAAGCTGATTTGAAAGAGTAAGTGTTTTTGTTTTACTACCATAAGTACATTAAAAACAAATTGTATTTGGACCCTACATAACTTACAAGTTATAGAAAGAGCTTCCAAGATGAAAAATAACTGCAAAAAGAATTACAATATAGAAATTATTAAAAGCATTTCAAAAACTATCATTTGCATTTGTGAAAAATTTTCCTCTTTAAAGGAGAATTCAAATAAAGAATAACACAAAAAAGTCAACCTCTCAATTGTTTCATGATTAAGCATAATAACATATCAGCAATCACACAGAATCTATTCTTATAAAATTCACTGCAACATTTAAAATATTTTACTGCACAGAAGTTTGGACATCTATAGATAATTAGTTAGATCTTGTTCTATTTTCACCTTGTTTGCAAACACCTCCTTTAATCACCCTCAGAGTCTATTAAACGACATAGTAAATTGTTTACTAAAAATATAGACATCAAATCTCCCCAAATTTTGGATTCTGAAAACTTAAGTATAAACAGGCAGCCAAACAATGTTTTGAAAAATATGTTCATTTACATGGCATTACTTTTGCAGTGTTGTAATAAAAAATTTTAAGTACAGATTCTTTGTGTTTCCTATGAAAAATAAAACCATCATTTATACTAATTCAATTTAACTAAGAATACATGGTCAAAATTTTTCTCACAACTTAATTCTTTGTGGCAAGTAATATGCTTATAAAATTTACTCAGTAGTGATTTTCCAGTTAGTACCAAAGTTTTCATTCAAATATACAAGCTATTTAAAAGGAATTATTTAATAATAATAAATATGTCATATCACACCATGTACTTAAACCTAAAGCCTGTGATGCAGCAACAACAACAGTGGGCAAATTTTTAAAAAGGAAACATGTCCACTGAACACTTTCATTTTTGAAGCAAAAACATCACCAAATTATTTCTTTTATACTAGACTCAATGTATTTCAATTTACAATCAAATTTATACCCTTCACTAAAAAAACTGTTGAAATAATAGAGAAATTACATATATAGAGGTAAAATATGATTTTTCTTGTTATTGCATTTCTCATTTCATTGTAAGTGATGGAGCGCTGCTGGCTGATTTCACAGGAGCAAAGGAGACCACACTAAGGTCAGGGTTTCCTTGAGAGAGGCGACAAGAAAGACTGAAAAATGTCACAGCTTGGAATCTGATTGCTTAAATACATCCTCTATTCTAGTCTTATAAGCTTTTCAGCTGGTAAATCAAAATCCTGTTATACACTAGGATAATATTCATGACAATTCTCTATATTTTATCTTCTTAAAATCAAAGACTCAATTCTAAAGGGTTAATAGAGGAATTACAAAGTAACTCTCTAGTTTGCATTTCCCATAATGCTAAAATAAAGCTTTTTCTTTTAGTCTAGAAATTTGCTTTTTTAATACTGTGAAAAGCCTCTATGAATCTGTTTAACGTATTTATTTCTTTTCATCTATTCAGTGCCACTGGGCATAACATGTAATGCAGTGCGTGTTGATATTTTGCAAAGCACCACATGACTCACTGTACCCTAATGCACTCCATTAATCCTGTTTGGACAGCTGGGTCCAGGCATTTGTTAGCTGCATTTTAATTGTTCCATCTTTCTTTTTTTTCTTTTTATTTATCTCTATGGCAAACTACTCTGGAATTTAATTTGTTGGCCTTCAAAAAGTAAATTTTACCATTAGTTTGTTTTCTTTGTATTAAAACTATACTCAGCATGTAATTTTCTTCCATAAAATCAGTATATATTAATGATTAGCAATCAATCTTAAATGTACAGTGAATGAGTTTCATAAGTATTAAAATGATAGGCTGGCTGAAATAGAACAGAAATTATTTAATAGACTCATAATATAAATGATAACATTTAACATCAAATCAGGTTGCTAAAGAGCATACTTTCAGCATTTTCAAGATTCACATAAGCAGATGTCAAAACAGTAACAAGTCCTATAAAAAACACAAAAGAAATCAGACTATTACACACACCAGTTTTTTATTAGCTTATGGAACAGTGGTCCCTTTACATTTACACTTTAATTTTGTTTTCTATTACAAACATGAAATCCTTTGTAAGAATTATAAAGATAACTACAAAGCTTCTACTTTCTTTGCACAGCCTGCATCCCTGATATCTGTAAGTCTTCAATAAATAATGGAGGCAATATGAGAGCTAATGCAAAAGCAACTCAAAGTTACCAGCAATTTTTGTTATGAGCAAGTAGCTAAAATTTAATGACCAAAATTTTCCAATCATTTGTGTGCACTCTTAAGTCAAAACCTAAGTCTAGAGAATTATATAGAAATGCTTAATGAAAATTTTTGTCTGAAATAATATTTAGTGAAGAACTGAGAATATGGTCTACGATAGCATTTTATAAAAGGCGACTAAAGGAAGACTTACTCAACTATTTCAATGACAAGTGAAAATCTGTTTTTCTTTTAAAAGATTATCAAATTCTCCGTAAACTGAAACATTAAGAAAATGACAGGAATGAATGACAGGCAAGTAGGAACTCTCAAGGGTGTCCTTTGAATCAGAGTGTGTTCTCAGAGATTACACTGCTTTCACCTCTATTTCATGGACACAAAGCAGCTTAAAATAATTTACAAATGTTCAGTTTTTTAAACCATACTAAATTATAAATGCTTAAAAACTTTTATATAGAAAAATTAGTTTAATGTAGTTTCCTCACTAGAGGACTCAAAAGCCTAACTTATGAATGTGTCAGTAAAAACAAAACACAACAAAAAACCAGCCCATTGTTTGGAGAAAGAATGCTTTTAAGTGTGTAAAAAATAAACGGTCTTTATTTGGTAAAAGTATTTGTCTTGGTATGCCCCTATACATAAAGTACAGAAGCAAAGGTGTAAAATGATGTAGGAAGAAACACTATATTTCAAAGGTAATCTTTATGAAAAAGTTTAGAAAGTAAAAGTTAAATAAGTTCAGTAAAGACAGTTTTTAAAAACATGGATCTTTAAGTGATAATTTCTCAATGAAACTTACCCAGTGTTCTCGACATCACAGGCAGAGCAGAGCTCAAGACCAAGATGGACACACAATTTCCAATGATCTGTTATGAGAAATGAGAAAGAATATTGGGCAGTTAAACAGCAGGATGACAATCAAACCCAGTAACATTCTGAGAAATTATTGTGCATTCTAGTTACCTAGTGTACTTTGCCGACTTCTTGATACTTACTATTCAGTACAGAATTTTCAAAGAAAAACACACTTTTAAAATAAATAAGGTTATATCTGTAAGTTCTAGAAGATGTTTACAGTACCTAGCACAAATATAGTTATAGAATACTTAAATTACTTGACACCTAGATAATGCATTTTACATTACTGATTGCAGTTGTTAGTTTCAAAAGGCTCTGCCTGTCAAGTAACAAATAATTAACATATTGGAGACTTCGGACTACATTTTTAAGGCCAGATTATTGCTTAAGATCTCTTTTATCACATCTATTTCTAATGTTTATTGTAAGATTTAAAAAGCACCAGAAATCCAAAACCTCTAAACTTTTGTAATAACGCATCCTATGTTTATTCTTCCATAGTAAATAAGAGGAGTTGAAAATACCAATTAATATTTATGATCACTTAAATTAGATACTAAATATCTCAACTACTTATTAAGTTTAAAGAAATAGCTGTGTGTGTGTGTGTGTAAAACAACTTCTCCCCTTCAAGTAGGCTAAAAATATAAAATAAAAACAAAACAAGCTTTCAGCTCTTATTAGTTATTCTTCTTTGTCAGCCTATGGGAATATTTTATAAAGATTCAGTCACTATATACAGCAAAAGCCTTTTTATTCTGAAGCCAATGGCATGTTGTGGAAAAAGTCAAATTAGCCTCAGACTACAAAATGTTTCTGAGTAGAACTCTTCCGTCTTACTTTAATTATTCAAATTTGAAATACTTTGTCTCTACTACTTGTAGCAACTAAGTTCTTCAGACTTCAAACAAGCTCCCTGAAGTACAGTTAGCACAATCCAAGTTACTCATTAGCAATACGCTTTCTTTAGAGGAAAAGGAGTCCTTTCAGGGGTCTTCTATAGCTAGTTAACAAGCTCTGCAGTTCTTTGCATTTACAGTGAATGGACGCCATCCAAATTAAACAGGGTACATCCCTTTCCCACTCACTCAGCATTTTGAAAATCTTCCAGTTTGTGTTTACGCAACTTACAAACAAATACCTATCACTGCAAATGAACCATTCGGGATGACTATTAAATAAAGCAGTCTGTCTGGGAAGGCAAGAGAGGCCACAGTCACCTAAGACTCTACCTTACCTTTGTCATAGTTGTGTCATCTTTCTTGGGAGTAAAGTTTCCAAAAAATCGAAGGCTATAGAAACCGACAACAGAGGACACCATAAGATAGCTGTGAGAATCAAGGAAAAAACTCTCCAACAGAATGTAAGTTTCCTAAGTTCTCAGCAGTCTCCAAAAAGTCTTAAGACCCATAGGAAAAACAAAACAAGAAGCCACTTCAAGTGCTTGAGGAAGACTAACCTGTTGTTTTCTCTTCTAGACAAGTGTCTTAGTAAATAACCACTGCCCCAGAAAACTAGGTATAAAATTTGGGGATAGGCTGAACGTTCAGTTAAAGAAAGGATACAAAATCAAAATGATTTCAAGTGCAGCTCCCACAAAACCAAACGTAGAAAGAGAGGCATTTCCTATTCCAGGCCCCTGGGGTGGGAGAAAGACACTTTTCAGAATTCAATGACACCATTATACTGGTTTCCCTAAAACATCTGTTTCATAAATATAAGACAGTTGAAATTATGAATGTTTACTACTTTGAAATAACATCTAGACTTTCAAAGGCCAACAAGACATGGCATTAAACTGATTTCATCAACAAATTCAGGCACCATGTTAACAATTTTAATAAGCTCAAGAAAAATTACTTATCTCAAATGTAATTTAAGTTACTTGTCAAGATGACATGATTATGCTTACTGTTATGAAATGGGGCAACTTGCCACTTGAGGAAAAAAAATCCTGAATAGTTTTGGGAAAGAGTTTTTAAAAATACCATAGAAAAATAAGAATAGGATATACAGCTATCTGAATGCTTACACAACATACAAAGATTACACAATCAAAGTATGTCAAAATTAAGCTAACAGTAGAAAGAGAGTAAATGTGCATATCCTGTTCCCATACCTGAAAGTGTCTTTTGCCCAAATTTTCCTTGGGAATTCAGAGTTACAAAAGATAAAACTGTTAACACCGATTTTTAAAAAGTAATGCTATAAATTTTTTCCTAAACAATTATCCCTATCTCAAAAACTATCTTTACCTAGAACTTTTAAAAAACACAAAAAAAGTTAATATTTTTATAATGAAATCTGAAAAAATCATTCCCTACTGAAGTAGAACAGTATTTTCAAAGATTACTAATAAAAGAAACTATCTGAATATTTTACTGGTCAGCACACATTACATCTAATAGAAACAACAGGGATAATTAAGAATCTACAGTCAGCCCAATAAAAAATAACTTTTTGACAATCTTTTGAAGAATAAATAAATGATGCTAGTAGAAAGTGATGGGGTTCAGGACACACTACTCCAAAATATGGGGCCTAGTATTTGAGAAAACATAGGAAGGTCACATACTGATCTGCCTCCCTTCTCCTGCGAAGCAGGCCATAAGACCCCCGTTCGAGGGTGCCCTCCCCGCCACCCAGAGGAGAGGCACACTGAGAAGAATATGAACAGGGCTTGCCTGTTTATATCATTTATAATCATTTATAATCATTAGATCATACCCCTGTCTTCCAATCATACTTCCCCAATACTGTCCACTCTTCACCAAACCTGAGCATAAAAATACACAGCTTTTTCTGTTTTTTCTGGTCTTCTTCATTTCTGAAGACTCCTGTGATATGTAAAACTTATCTTAAATAAATTTGTTAGCTTTACTCTTGTTAATCTTTTGTTATAGGCATCTCAGCCATGAACCTTGCAATAGGTTAGAATAAGAAATTACTTCTTCTCCCCCACAAAAGGTTATTGATCAACAGAGATAATGCTTTGGAATTATGCTATCTCAAGAGAAGCCATGTAGGAAGGATGAAGATTATCTAATTTTTTTAGATAATTATACAGGGATCTCCTATAACGTACAAGTCATTTTCTACTAAGCACTAAGAGGGATGGGTACAAAAATGTACCACAGGGCTTGGGACTTGTTTTGTTGGTATAGTAAAATGGGTTAAAAGTGACTAGGAAGTCAGTATAGTAAGTGACTTCCTGTTCTATCAGCGGGTTTGAGTATAAAACTAAGAAAAAGATAAGACTGTACGGGGAAAAGGGTAGTTTCTCATCTGTCTGTAGGATGAGGCACGTGAAGCATGGTGGTGGGCTTATACTCATGGAGAAGAGGCTGTTACTGAATACAACAATGGCAATAACAGATGGCACAAGGTCCTGGAAAGACTGGGGTCGGGGGATCTGAATCAAGACTGTGGCTAAAGAAATGTCATATAGCTAAATGAATTTCAGTAAAATCAAGATAAACTCTGATAAGAAATCTAAAAGGAAATCCCAACACTTGAAAAAAGGCCCTGTCAATCCAAAGTAAAACATTAGACACAAAAACCACAGTTTATATTATAAAGGCTCTTTGCATAAAGAAATTCATATAACTTGAAGTATATACATGCACAAAGGTGAATGTTTTCATTAGCTTATTTGAAATACTCAGGGTATAGACACAGAATACTTTTGCAAAAGAAAGACATTTTAAAGGATTTTACTTTACCCTTGTTCCTTTTGGCATTGCTGTTTCATCAACCAATAGGCAAAGAATATTACAAGCCACCAAGAGGACCGAGATGGACTACAAGACAAACAGCAAACTGTCAGCTCTCAAGACTTTTTACCAATACAAAATATTAAAATCTAGGTAACCAAATATATGTTTCAGAATAGAGGGAAAGCAGTCAAGACCAAAAGGCTATATATTAAACTAAAGTAATCAGACTACAAACAAGAGCTGAAGAAATTCTAAGATTCTGCAAGTTATTGTAATTTCAAAGCTTGTGACAAAAGCTGGTGGCATAGATCCTTCTACTAAGTGATCTCACCAGTTGGAAACACACAACTCCACCGACTTAAAAAAGTGGTAAAATACTATCAGAACTAATTTCATAATGTAATTTTCATATTTTATCACAGAATTTAAAGCAGGTTATCTGCAACACCTTGTTTTCTTAATTTTTAATGAAAACAAAGGCTGAATTTCCTCCTTTCATGAAGAAACAGATAATCTTCAGAATTTTTTTTAAATTGTCATTAATTTCCATTTTTGCTTTATTGGATTTTCAAAAATAAAGGCATAGATGGATTTTAATCCTGTTGATAGAAAACCAGTTTATGAAAAACCATTTATCTGAGGGAGCTGCCATATTTAAATGCTAAAGTAAATAATATATAATTTGCTTTTATTTAACTAGGTAAATAAATTCTTACTGTCTCAATAAGAAGGAGAACCATAACAGCGGGATACACCAAATTTCTTTCCCATGCTGAAGCCTTTTTTCGCCTCTCTATTAAAAGGAAAAACAAAATAAAACAAAGTTTTCTCCAGATTAACATTTTCATTCCATAATGCTATAATCTGTTTTTTACATAATTTCTTCTGAAAAAACACAAATTACTTTTAATTTACCTCCACAAACTATAAAAACTAGAGATAGGGCCTTGCTCTGTCACCCAGGCTAGAGAACAATGGTATAGCCACAGCTCACTGCAACCTCCTACGCTCAAGTGATCCTCCCATCTCACCCACCTGAGTAGCTGGGACTACAGGTATGTGCCACCATGCCTGGCTAATTTTTTATTTTATTTATTTTTTGTAGAGACAGGGTCTTGCTATGTTGCCCAGGCTGGTCTTGAACTCCTGGGCTCAAACAATCCTCCCACCTCAGCTTCCTAAAGTGCTGGGATTACAGGCAAGAACTACCATACCCAGCCAGAAATCAGAGTTTTAAACCCAGTTTGCTACATTAAACGCCTCATAAGAGAGAACGGAGCAGAAGTAATTCTGTGATGCTTGAATTTCAGCTCTGAGAAGACATCTCAATTGTTCAGGAAATATATTGTTAATATACAGCTGATTCTGAAAATACAGAAATACAGTAGGTCTTCTACAGTCACAGGTTCTGCAATAATTTTCTATCATACGTAGATTTTGGTATCCATGGGGGTTCTGAAACCAGACCCCCACGAATACTGAGGGCATACTATATTTGTATTTCATATAGATCTACATATTGATATATATCTGAATGAATAAAGTTATATGAATAAAAATCCCTTCTATTCTTTTTTTTTTTTTTTTTTGAGACAGAGTCTCGCTCTCCCAGGCTGGAGTGCAGTGACATGATCTCGGCTCACTGCAACCTCTGCCTGCTAGGTTCAAGTGATTCTCCTGCCTCAGCCTCCCAAGTAGATGTTACTACAGGCACACGCCACCACACCTGGCTAATTTTTTGTATTTTTAGTAGAGACGGGTTTTCACCATGTTAGCAAGGATGGTCTTGATCTCCTGACCTCATGATCTGCCCACTTGGGCCTCCCAAAGTGCTGGGATTACAGGCGTGAGCTACCGCACCCGGCCCTCTTCTATTCTTAATATCCCAAAGATAAACACTTTTAGTTTTCTAAAGGCTGGAAGCAAACTTCTACTTTTACCTACAACACCAATCCTCATGCTAAGAACAAGTAGAAAAAGATGAATCAAACTTAATTAAAAAAAAAAATCTGTATGAACATATCAGAGAGCTACCAAGACAATGAAAATTGAGGGGCCAATATTCTGTGAAGTGAACTGAGCTAAGACCTCCAATTTGTACTACACCTTCCGCTGCAAGGCATTTCCCAATATGTAAATGGCACGGACCCAAGAGGTTGAGAAATCAATGGGTAAAAGGCAATGATTCTAAAGCAAACCTTTCAGCAAACTCAACAGAGCCAAAAGGATAGACATTGGCATTTGGGGGTACCAACGCAGTCAAAATTTGAGACGCTATGATCATACAGAAGAGAAAAGGGCAAAGAAGTGAGCCTGGCAGACACTACCATTTTCCCTTCAAGACGTCAGTGGCTAAGAGGCCGAGAAGAACAACAGAAAGATGCAACTATGAGGCTGAGAAGCCAAGCACAAAGCTTCTGTCAGGCTCCTGTTTCTTGAGCGGTAAAAACTAAAATGTATTAAGAAAATGGGATCATAGTCAATAACTAAGCAACTAGGCTTTCCATTAGGACCAATGAAAAGCTATACCCTAGTATGAGGGAAGGCCAAAGTGAAAACAGACCAGTCGTCATAAAGACCAAAGTCTGGCCTTGAATGACCTCAAGTCTAATGGATTAGACTGATATGTCCCTACTCTAATTGTCTGCCAGAAGCAAAAGTACATTCTCCCCAAAAGAAGAAAACATCATACAGAGTTTCTATAGTTTTGTATAAGAAATATCTGGCATTCAATTACACATTACCATACATAGGAAAAAGAGGCTGGGCGCGGTGGCTTAAGCCTGTAATCCCAGGACTTTGGAAGGCCAAGGCGGGCGGATCACTATGTCAGGAGTTTGAGACCAGCCTGGCCAACATGGTGAAACCCCGTCTCAACTAAAAATACAAAGAATTAGCCGGGCATGGTGGCGGGTACCTGTAATCCCAGTTACTCGGGAGGCTGAGGCAAGAGAATCATTTGAACTCTCGAGGCGGAGGTTGCAGCAGGCTGAGATCAGGCTATTGCACTCCAGCCAGGGCAACAAGAGCGAAACTCCATCAAATAAATAAATAAATAAATGGAAAAAGGGGGGAGAAAAGACAACAGAAACAGACCTACAGGTGATTCCCATTTTGGATTTATCAGAAAGATGCTTTAAAATAAATGATTAACATATTCAATAAAATAAGTGATAAATGGAAAATTTTGCAAGTAAATTTAAATCTATAAAAAATAAACAGAAAATCTAGAACTGAAAAATAATGTAACTAAAATGAAAAATTCAATAGTTTTGACAATAGTTATGACATAGCTGAAAGAAAGCAAAATGGAAGACAGACCAATAGAAAATATCAGACTGAAGCATGAAGATACAAAAGGAGATAAATACAGAAAAGAATATAAGAATGAAAAAGTCTAGCATATGTGTAACTGCAGCCTGAGGAAATAACAGACAATGGAGCAGAAGCAATATTTGATAAGACAATGGCCAAGAATTTTCCCAAACAGATAAAAGACATCAAGTCACAGTATCATGAAGGACACATAGATTTCAAGATAAATACAAAGAAAACCAAATCTAAGCACATCAGAGTAAAATTGCTAAACAGAGACAAAAGGAAAATCTTTAAAGCCCTTTGAAAGAGCAACAACATGACTTTCAACCAGAAACCAGAAGACAGTAGAATGACATCTTTCCAATGCTGATAACTAGCAAACAAAAATTTTTAGTATGTTTTCCAATAAACAAAAACTGGGAGAATCTATTACCAGCAAACCTGTGTTTTTCAAACAGAAGCTAAATGAACATTAGAAACATAAAACTCAAAATACAAATCAGGAACATATGAATTAGAATACCAATGAAACACTACTTCACATCCACTAAGTCGGTAAAAATTTTAAAGTCCAACATTGTCAAGTATAGGCAAGGATATGGAGCAACAGGAATCCTACTCATGCCCAGCAGGAATGCAAACTAGTACAACTATGTGAAAAAACCATTTGGCTTTCTCTACAAAAGTTGCACAGGCACATATACAATGATCTTGTAATTCCATATCTAGTATGTACCCTGAAAAAACATATATACCAAGAGATACATACCAGAATGATTATAGCAACATTATTTGTAACAGCAAAAAACTAGAATCAGATCTAACATCCACCGACAGCAGGATGACTGAATTAACTTCAGGAAATATATTAACATATATTAACAGAAATGAAAATAAATGAACACCATATCTAATTTTCAAGAATATAACACTGGACTTCCACTTCCAAAGTTGCAGCAACAACAGGGACCATGTTTGTCATCCAGTCTGAAACAATTAAGAAACCAAAAAGTACACAGATAAGAAACAACAGTTTTCAAGACAGTGGACATCTGATTGTGGAAGAACAATGATGCCTGAGACACAGGAAACAAACTACACAAGCCCTTTCTGACCCAGCTTACTGTCTTGAGAGTTTCCAGGCCATGATGTAGGAAGGAGGAACACAAGCTGAGCCCAGCTCATCCCTTGACTTGAGAGCATGAAATGGGAATCTGGGGAGACTATGTCAGCTGGAGTCTGTGCAGCAAAGTGCCAGACAGGAGACTAAAGCACAGAAAAAGAACTCCAAAGATCTGCAAAGCGTCACCCTTGAGTATTCAGTAAAGAATTCAGTAAAAAATTATCAAGTATATCGGCTCAGGCGTGTGAAGAAACAACCCATGGCTGAAGAAAGGACCACCCCAAAACATGAAAAGAAACAAAGGCCAAAAATAGTTGCTTCTCCCACAAGACAGTACAGAACCTCATCAATCACAGGACATTGGATAGAATCTGTAGAAGGGTCTTGCCTCAGCAGTGGGGAATACTTAGCCCTAGATGCAATGATCCCCTGGTCCAGCCTAAAAAGTCTTCAGAACAAGACACAATAATATCAAACTGTTTCCAAGTAACTTAACTGCATTCCAGAACAAAGTTCCTCACTTACAGAACTACTAAAAGTGGCCAGGAGTCATGGCTTATGCCTGTAATCTCAGTACTTTGGGCGGCCAAGGCGGGCACAACATGGCAAAATCCCATCTCTACCAAAAAACACAAAAAATTAGCCAGCTGTGATGGCATGCACCTGTGGTCCCAGCTACTCAGGAGGCTGAGGTGGGAGGATCACATGAGGCTGCAGTGAGTTGAGATTGCACCATTGCACTCTAGCCTGGGCGACAGAGTGAGACTCTGTCTCAAAAAACAAAACAAAACAAAAAGAAATACTGTAAGTGAGGCACCCAACAAGGGTAAAATCTCACCTGACAAGGTAAAATTCAAAATGTCTATTTTCTAATCAAAAGTTTCCAGACATGCAAAGAAGCACAAAAATACTAGTGATTATGAGGAAAAAAATCAATCAAAACATATCAAGAAGTAACACAAACGTTAGAAGGAGCAGACGAAAACACTGTAAGTGTTGTCTGTATTCTGTATTTTCACAAAGATGGAGGACACAGATTGAACGTGTTATTTAGAGACATAACAGAAGACACAAAACACGCCCAAACAGACCCCCTAGAGATGAAAACTGCAGACTGCAGAAAAACAAAAAAGCAAAACCACTGGATGAAAGGCAGATTGGACGTGCAGAAGATTGGTGACAGTGAAGACACAGCTATAGACACTAACCAAAATGAAACACAGCAAGAAAAAAAACTAAAAAATAAAGGAATATCCTTAAGCTATAGCCTAAAACACATGTAATTGGAGTCCCCAAAAAGGAAAGCATAAGAGGAAAAGAAAAAATATTTGGAGAAGTAATGGTCAAAAAATTTCCAAATTAGTTGAAAACTATAAACTCCTAGCTCTAAGAAACACGAAGAAAACTACTCTAAGGCATATCACAATCAAATTGGTCAAAATCAATAATAAAGACATCTTAAAAGCAGATACAGAAAAAAGACACATTAAAAGATAAGTATGACAGACGACTTGTAAGAAAAAATGAAAGTGAGAAGGCAATGGAGCAACATCTTTGAACGTCTGAACCTTTGAACAGTCATTTGGTATATATATAAAACCAAAAAAAGTGAATAAATGTAAATTTATCCTCTCCCCAAACTAAAAGATAGTCTTTATTAATGATTTTGGGCAGGTTGAAAGTTTTAACATAAAGATTTCATAAATGTTCTAGTATTTCAGACCACAGTAAAGACTTTAATAAGAAACGAAGGCCAATTACACAAGTCAAGAAAAAAAAAAAGTACAATACCTAATTTTGTCTTAAGAGTCTTTACATTTTCAAGTTCTTGTTCCAACTCCATTATGTTGTATTCCACCGATGAAGACAGCCCTGTTCAAAGCAAAAAATATTTAGAAGTAAAACAGAACCCCTAACACTATAGAACAGGTAGCCCTTTAATTAAAATCTAAAATAACACATGGCAAATCCTGCTAATTGAAAAAAAAAAAAAAACAAATGCTGCTGTGATTCAGAGGAAAGCACATCCATATATTTACCAATTAAAACTTCTTGCTGATTAAACACTGCATGTTTCCACAGAGTGATATAACAGACTCTCAAGACTCAGAAGAGAGAGGGTTGGGATGGAGGCAAGGGATGAAAAACGACCTATCGGTTACAATGTATGCTACTCCAGTGATGGGTACATTAAAATCTCAGACCACACCACTATACATCCACGTAACCCAAAACCACTGGTACCCCAAAAGCTACTGAAATAAGAATATTAAAATAAACACTACATGTTTCCTAGAAAATTTCTTAACATGGTAAAGTTCTAATTTGATCTATTAATAATCTTTTCTTAATTACAAAAGCAACTTGGGCTTACTACAGAAAGTGAAAAAAATCAAGATCTCCTCTTCTGCATCTCACCTCCCTAAAATGACAATTGTGAACAGCTTGGCTGATGCTTCCATATCTTTCTTCACATTCAGAAGCACATTCATACATACATATGTATCCTATACATGGTTTTTATTACATATTTTATATGAGTGGGGTCAGACATAGTACTTTACCATTTGCTTTCCTAGTCAATTATATGTCCAAGTTGATGGCTGAATAACATTCCATACTACAGATGTACTACAACTTCATTCCCTTCACACATATTTAAGTTTTCAACTTCTTGCCACTACAAACGGCATTGCAATAAACATTCTTGTATGCACATCCAGTACATTTTGGTTCTAATTATTTCTGTAAGACAGATCCCCAAAACTCAGATTGCTGAATAGGGTATGAACATTTATAGAGGGTTACTTCCCCAAAACATTGTAATAATTTAAACTATTGTAATAATTTACATTTCTATCAATAGCTTTGAAACTATCTGTTTTCCAGTATCATCTTCAGCACTGAAGTTGTAACTGAAGTTACAACTCTTCAATTCTACCAATGTGACGGGTGAAAAATGTTTTCTTCCTGTTACTTTAACATGCATTTCCCTAAATGTGGGTGAACATACTTCTCAGCGTTTATCACCTGAATTTTCCCTATTCATATTTTCTACTTGTTTCTCTAATGGTGGATCTTTGTATTCTTTATATTTTATCTGTTAAATTCTGAAACAGAGAAATCAAAATACCCACTACAACTGTACTGTAAGTTATCTCAGTTTTTAAGAGGTTTTTTTTTCCCCCATTATGCATTTGTATTTGACTGCTGAGACTGGGAGGTTCCGTTCGCTAGGGTTTTTTGTTCTGTTTTGTTTTGCTTTGTTTTTCATCCTAGACTGTTACATCTTCCTTATGAATCATCTATTTTATCATTTCATAATGACTCTGTTTGTTTCTAATGTCTTTCAACTTCAATTCTGTTTTGTGGATTTTAAGTTCTACTTTTTGTTTTTACCTATCTTGCTTGCTTACTTACATACATTTATACATACACCTTTAATTTGAATCTTTTTCTCTTATCCAGCTGAATCTTACTGGAGGTTTAACCTGTATCAGTTAGAGTTCACGGCTACAGGCAACTGAAATAGACTCACTAGTTAAAACAGAAAAGGAGTTCATAAGATAGAACCAGGAGGAAAATTTTCCAGTAAAGAAAGTAGAGGAAATGGGCAGCTGAGAGTTACAGGTGGCAGAACAGATGGATAGTTTCCTCATATCATAACAGCTGGGATGACTCGGTCCTGAGTACTCGCAGTCTGTATGTCACTATGAGGAAGAATAAAAGTCTAGGAAGCAGGCGTCCTAATGGCATGGCTTAGAGTCACCTGTGAGTTTCATGGACAGCCAAGAACTCTGCTGAGCAGTTCTGCCAGTCTCATCTAACCGGGGAAATCCGCAAATCCAAATCAGGTACTTTACTAGAAGAAAGGGCAATAGATGCTTGTAGGAAAAATGATAAATACAGGCTGAATAAATCCAATCTGATAAACTGTTCTTTAACAGTCAAATTCAGCCCATTTACACTTAGTAAAATATAGAGCTTGCAGTCAGTATAATTTAGTATTATAGCTGATGAAATTTATTTTATACTTTCTATACTACTTTCTTAATTTTAAGTGATTTTTTAAAAGGTTTTTGTCTTTATCAAAATGAAGCATGCACATAGCTCAAAGTGTCAAACACATGCACAGGTTTGCTGTCCTGTCTCCTCCTTCCTGAATCCATTTTCCCAAAAGCAGCTGTCCAGCTGGTTCTTCTGGCACTTGTCTTCCTATTTCAACTTCTGAATTTCCTGCACAGAGCATTCCCACTGTGGCAGCTGAGCCACACATCTCTTCACTCCTCCCTTTCTCTCAATATGGCCATAATGATCATTTTAGCTAGACTGATATTCAATGTCTACATTATTATAACAACCAAAATGCCTATCCACATAGCAAACTATGACCAGCTTTCCTTCTTTCCTTAACATCCTTCCCACCCCCAGAATTAGCAATAATTTTTCTTTTACTTAATTTTCTATGTACTTAACACAAATTCAAACCCAAAACATCCTGCCAAAGGTCTTTATTTTCTCTTGGTTTTTCTATTCCTCAGTTATACTATTAACTTCATTTTCTTGGAGAAATTTCTGCCAGTGTCTTTAGACCTGCCCCCCCTAGATGGACTGCCCTCTATGCCTCCTGCACCCTTTCACCCTGGGATTGGCTGCCCACATCTCCTGTGGAGCATCTCTTATTTCCTACACAGCCTGTATCTTTTCTTGATTTACTCCCTTGTTTAGATGGTGCATATCCTCGAGTGGCTTGCTAAGCAAAGGTGAATGTGAGGTAAATTTTTTTTTTAAGATAGAGTCTCGCTGTCACTCAGGCTGGAGTGCAGTGGCACGATCTCGGCTCACTGCAAGCTCCGCCTCCCGGGTTCACACCATTCTCCTGCCTCAGCCTCCCGAGTAGCTGGGACTACAGGCGCCCGCCACCTCGCCCGGCTAGTTTTTTGTATTTTTAGTAGAGACGGTGTTTCACCGTGTTAGCCAGGATGGTCTCGATCTCCTGACCACGTGATCCGCCTGCCTCAGCCTCCCAAAGTGCTGGGATTACAGGCGTGAGCCACCGTGCCCGGCCAATGTGAGGTAAATTTTTAAAGACTATACAAGTCTGAATACTTTACCTTTGCTCTTACATTATAGTTTGATTAAGCACAAAAAATCAAGGTCAAAACTAATTCTCCTTCACAATTCTGAAGGCACTGCTTCATTGTCTTCCAGCTTCTAGTTTTGCTTTTCAGAAGTCTGAAGCTATTCTTACTCCTCTCTTTTTGAATGTGAACTGCTTGTCATTTCCCTTTCAAACTGTGTAGGACCTTTGTCCCCCGTGTTCTTGATGAGAGTTCATTTTAATGTATTGTGTTGGGGACTAGATGACCCCTTTCGATCTCTAACTTCATGTCCTTCAGATCTGGGAAATCTTCATTTTGTCATAAGAACTAAAGATCAGGTGAGCACTCACAGCACCTGGTTCTAACCTCATATTCCTGAAAGAGGCACTGAAGAGGGTAGAAAAGACAGCCTTGAATCGCCAATGCCAACCCCCCCTCCATCCCCCAGCAGCAGCCGCATGGTGTGGAAAGAGAATCTGTGTACTTGGGGGAGGGAGAGCACAACAAATGGGGGACTTGGCGTTGCACTCAGTGCTGCCCTGTCACAGCAGACAGCAAAGCTATGCTGGGCTTAGCCAGTGTGTGCCCACAGAGGGAGCATGTGGACCAGCCCTACCTAGCCAGAAGGAAATTCCCCATCCCAGTGGTCAAAACTTGAGTTTCTCAGCAAGCCTCAGCATCACGGGCTACAGTGCTCTGGGGTCCTAAGTAAACTTGAAAAGCAGTCCTAGGACACAAGAACTGCAATTCCTAGGCAAGGCCTGGTGCTGGGCTGGGCTTAGAGCCAGTGGACTAGGGCAACATGTATCAGACAGAGTGGCTAAGGGAGTGTTTGCACCACCTCTCCACCAACCCCAGGCAGCAGAGCTCACAGCAAGTAAAGTGACTCCTTCCTTCTGCTCGAAGAGAGGAAAGTAAAGAGAACTTTGTCTTGCATTTTGGATACCAGCTCAGCCACAGTACAATAGGGTACTGGGCACAGTCATGAGGGCCCCATTCTAGGACCTAACTTCTGGATGATGTTTCTAGACACACCCTGGGCCAGAAGGGAACCTGCTACTTTTAAGGGACTCAGTTCTGGAAGGATCCATCACCTACTGACTAAAGAGCCCCTAGGTCCCGAAGATCTAGGAGTGACACATAGCTAGTATGCCATGGGCCTTGGGGAGACTCTAAGACATGCTGGCTCCAGGTCTGATGCAGCATATTCCCAGCTGTGGTAAACACAGTGAAAGACTGCTTCTGCTTGAGAAAAGCAAAGGGAAAAGTAAAGGGTCCTTTATCTTGCAGCCTAGGTACTAGCTTGGCCACAGTGGGGTAGAGTATCAGGTGGGCTCTTGGGGCCCCCGAAACCAGGCCTAGGCTATTGAACAGCATTTCTAGACCTGCCCCAGGACAGAGGGGAGCCCGCTGCCCTGCAGGGTGAGTCCCAGGCCTGGCAACATTCTCCACAGGCTGACTGCAGAGCTTCTGAGCATTAAGTGACCACTGGCAGTGGCCTGGCAGAACTCCCCGTGGGCTGGTAGTGGTGGGAGCATGTGGAAGGAGCAGGGAAGAGGAGGAAGGACTTTGTCTTGTGGTTTGAGGGCCACTTTAGCTGCAGTAAAACAGAACACCAACTAGATTTCTAAAGTTTCTGGCTTCAAACTCTGCCTCCCAGACAGCATCTCTGGACCTGCCCTGGCTCTGAGGGAACTTTTCACCCTGAAGGGAAGGACACAAACCTGGCTGGCTTCCCCAACTACTGATCGTAGAGCCTTAGGGCCTCGAGAGAACACAGGCAGTAGCCAAGTAATGTTTACAGTGGACTCTGAGTGAGACCCAGTGCTGTGCTGGCTTCAGGTCTCACCCAGCGCAGTCCCAGTGGTGGTGGCCACAGGTGTGCTTACATCACCCCAATCCCAGCTCTAGGAAGCTCAGCACAGAGAGAGGCCATTTGTTTGGGAGAAAGTAAGGGAAGAGAACAAGTCCCTTCCTGGTAATCCAGAGAATTCTTCTGGATCTTATCTAAACCCACTGAGGCATTAGTCTGCAAGAACCACAGCATTATTGGGCTTGGGGCCCAAGTTCCTTTGAATATCCAGCAAGCCTTCCCAAGAAAGACGGGCACATACAAACCCAGACTGTGAAGATTACAATAAATACTTAACTCTTCAATGCCCAGACACTGAAGAATATCCACAAGCATCAAGACCATCCAGGAAAACATGACCTCATCAAACAAACTAAACAAGGCACCAGGGACCAATCCTGGTGAAAGAGAAATATATAACCTTTCAGACAGAATTCAAAATGGCTGTTTTGAGGAAACTCAAAGAAATTCAAGATAATACAGAGAAGGAATTCAGAATTTTATCACATAAATTTAACAAAGAGATTGAAATAACAAAAAAGAATCATGCAGAAATTCTAGAGTTGAAAAATGTGACTGACAAACTGAAAAATGCATCAGAGTCTCTTAACAGCAGAACTGATCAAGCAGAAGAAAGAATTGGTGAGCCTGAAGACAGGCTGTTTGAAAATACATAGTGGAGACAAAAGAAAAAACAATCAAAAAGAATGAAGCATGCCTACAATATCTAGAAAATAGCCTAAAAGGAGCAAATCTAAGAGTTATTGATGGCAAAGAGGAGACAGAGAGAGAGAGAGGTACGAAGTTTATTTATTCAAAGGGAGAATATTAGAAAACTTCCCAAACCTACAGAAAGATATCAAAATTTAAGAACAAGAAGGTTATAGAACACCAAGTAGATTTAACTCAAAGACAATTACCTCAAATAATCAAACTCCCAAAGGTCAAGGATAAAGAAAGGATCCCAAAAGCAGCAAGAGAAAAGAAACAAGAATATCCAATGGAGCTCCAATCCACCTGGCAGCAGACTTCAGTGGAAACTCTGCAGGCCAGGAGAGAGTGGCATGACATGTATAAAGTGCTGAGGGAAAAACACTTACACTCTAGAATAGTATGTCTGGTGAAAATATCCTTCAAGCATGAAGGAGAAATAAAGATTTTCCCAGACAAACAAAACCTGAGGCATTTCATCAACACTAGACCTGTCCTACGAGAAATGCTAAAGGGAGTTCTTCAATCAGAAAGAAAAGAATGTTAATGAGCCATAAGAAATCACCTGAAGATACAAAACTCACTGGTAATATAAGTAAACACAGAAAAACACAGAAAATTATAGCACTATAATTATGGTGTGTAAACTACTCCTATTGTAAGTAGAAAGATTAAATGATGAACCAATCAAAAATAATAACTACAACAACTTTTCAAGACACAGTACAGTAAGACATAAAAAGAAACAACAAAAAGTTTAAAAGTGTGGGGATAAGTTAAAGTGTAGAGTTTGTACTAGTTTTCTTTTTGCTTGTTTGTTTTTTGCAATGTGTTAAAATGCCCTCAGTTTAAAATATGGGTTATAGGATAGTATTTGCATGCCTCATGATAACATCAAATTGAAAAACATACAATGGATACTCAAAAAATAAAAAGCAAGAAATTAAATCCTACCACCAGAGAAAATAACTTTCACTAAAAGGAAGACAGGAAGGAAAGAAGAGAAGACTATACAAAACAACGAGAAAAGAAATAACAAAATGGCAGGAGGAAGTCCTTACTGATCAATAATAACACCGAATGTAAATGAACTAAACTCTCCAATCAAAAGACATAGTGACTGAATGGATAAAAAAGCAAAACCCAATTATCTTTTGCCTACAAGAAATACACTTTACCTACACAGATACACACAGA